TGTGTGTGTGTGTGTGTGTGTGTGTGTGTGTGTGTGTGTGTGCATATACACACAATATATGCATATATCATAGCGCTTTCACAATGGATACGGTGCAAATTTCTTTTTTATTTTTACATAATCATAAGAAAAAAGCAGCAACATTCTGGACTCTTGACAAGATGTGAAGCAACAACAAAGACATACAGCATTCGAATTGGAAAAGATTGCACATATATATATAGAAAAATAAGGTTCGACTAAGGTGGATTGGGTCGGAAGGGGGGGGAGCAGTACTATATAATAATTTTACTGCAGTACATGTACTTCTTGGGATTAGCTGCATAAAAAAATAAAATGTGTACAAATCGATAAATTCCCTCTATTTTAGCTGTCCCAGCAAATGTGCCTCTTACTTCATATTACATACGCAATGCAGTCTTTTTCCATAAGACCACAAGACAGTGAAAGAGGAATGAAACAGACACAGAGACATACATGGGAATAATCTACAGACATCCTGGCTGGCTTCACAAAACATGTGAGAGGGTTTAATGTCTGGACAATCTCGGAAAGGAATAGGCCGGATGTTGCAGAGGAAATCTAATACAGATGATGTGTAATAACAATACATTTCTAATAAAAAACATGCTGGACAATTTTTTTATAAACCATACAGTCACACATGCAATATGTGATAAATGACAAGGGGAATTGGAAAGAAAAATGTAAAAAATGATTAAGCCAAACAGCTTGAAAAGAAAAAGCAACAACCGCAAATGACCAGTTATTCATCAAGGTGGCAAAAGCTAACCGAGAACTTTTCCAATCTTACAGAACAGTTACAAGTTGCTTTTAAAAAAAAAAATGATATTCTTACTGTAAAGTTCTAGATCCAGGTAAAGTTCAAGTAAAAGATCTGGATAAATTGCTTTTCAATGATTTATCAAACATTTGCCTGGGTTGTCTAAGGGCAAATAAAAGGCACATCACGGTAAGTACAAAAAAACCCCTTCAAAACAAAACCTTAAAATGATTGTACCTTGAAAAAGTCACAACCAGAATCAATTATAAAAAGGATGTCTTTCACAAAGAGAGTTTCAAATTAAAAAATTCTGGCATAGTGTTCAAGTCAAGGCTTTCAACTTGCATTGGAAAGACTGCATATTTCGTTGGTATCGCAAATCTATACAAAAAATGACTATTCAATTTTTTTTTAAACAAACAAAAATACCCAACAAATTGACCAGACCATAATTATATTCCTCCATGAAAGGAAATCAAACAGTTCAAAGTTCCAATTCATACGTCTTTTTCTTGGACTGGTGATACAAAATACACAAACATTTCAAATCCAGACAAGAGAAAAAGCACAATGCGTATCAAACAATGGTTTGAAATCTAATTTCTTAGTGACAGTTTTAATAAACACATACTTTCCAAACATTGTAACTTTTCTTTGAAACAGGAGTAGAAACTATCAAATTCAAAACTAATATCTCAAAAGTCAAGACTTTGGAAAATATTGAGTATCAAAAAAATCGAGAAAGATCAGTTTCAAGAAAGAAATTCTCCTTCATATATCAAGTCTCAAAATAGTGGATTTCTCGTTAGTTTTGGTAAGAGTTTTACAGCACTTACACAACAAGTAGGTCATATAAGTGCCCAAGATTAGAGGTGTAACTAGAGAATAACAGACGAAGAAAACAAGAAAGAAAGATAACAATGATAGATGGATTTCTCTACTTTTACATGAATGCAGAAATTACACATCAAAGAAACAAAAAGAAAGACAGTTCAAAATACAATTACGGTGGGCATCCAGAGAGAAATCACAATTATTTGCAATCACAGACTTCAATTAGACACTGTAAAGAAAATTTTTTCATCAACAAGAAAAGAAAGTCTACCATTATCTTGCAGGTCAACAAAAGCATGGCACATCTTCAACGAAGTGTTGACTGTTCCTGCACTGCTTAATCAACAAGAACACCACTGTTGATATTGACTTTGATTGCATCATAGTTTCAAGGCCCAGCTAGACATAAATAGGGCACTTAGCACAGTAGAAAAGAAGTAATAGGAAAAGTCAGAAGTAAATATTAAACAAATCCATGTATGTTGGATAACAAACGTTTAGGTGTGTACACCACCTCTAGAGAGATCACAACTACTACCGCTGTGCTGAGGGTCTATTTATTACCTCATCCCGCCTCAAACTACTGAGGTAGCACCTATAGTGGTTGTTACCTAAGTTCATCACTTGCATAGAAATGATATTGCAAAGATAAATTGTTGTATTCCTTGATACACCTAGAAGCACCACAAGTATATTCAGGACAATAGAAAAGTAGCTTGTAACATAATTTTACAATATATTCCAAGACCAGATTTCCATACAGGATAACATCCCAGTCAAACGGTACCACATTGACATGACAATGGTCCTTTTGCACTGGGCACAAAAGCAAGACTGACAAACAGCGGTAGGGTAGAGAGGAAATGGAACCTGGTAATGGCACCCTCCAACAACCCAAACACAACCACTTCACATGGTTATTACCGATACATAAACTGAAAACTCGCTAGAGGCAGGACAAAGGCAAAACTGGGAAACATCCCTTATGATATTATTCTCCTTTGATTGCTTCAGCTACTTTTTATGCACCACATACTTCACCAGTACTTGATGAAATGTACCAACAAGTTATACAATATTTTGGTCTTCAAACACATTTGACAGGAAAACTACTCTTTCTCATGCCAATCTGTAACCTTGAAGTCACTCAAGATGACCAATACTTGTAAACACAAGCAAATGTGTACTCCAAAGGGAGACAAATCACTCTATTCTCTCACTCGAAGAGGCTGAACTGTATGAAGAGAAAAGAAAGTTTATCGAAACTGGTACAGTATGTTATCTCCAATGAACATGTAAAAAAAACAATTATCACTTCCACACACAATGAGGTTATGGATTTGTGCTTCGTGTGTATGTGATGTCAGGGTCATGATGAGGACACTTTAGTGAAAGAACTCACGTGAGAGCGACATTTCTGAGTTTATGGAACAAGTGCTGTAGAAACAAATGACAAAAGTTGGGTCTACATTTCATTTTTCTACAATGAAGAAACACGTTCCTGGAAAGCAAAATTATATGTTTGTATTATTTAATCAAATTCAAGTTCAGTATAGATATCGGGAGGAAAAATCAGGTATTATTATAGTTCCGGGGGGGGGAGACACAGATGGACAAAAGCAAATTATAATTTCAAAAATTTATGGCAACAAAAGATGAACCAGCACTCAAAACCAGCATGAAAGAAAGGTGTTACAGCCTGCAAAGGGCGTCAAAAAGTGCCCACAAGCAAATTTTCTTAATCGGCATAATAATGAAAATTCCACAAAACGATGCGATGAAAGTAACAAGTACTGTGCATATTTCGAATGAGCAAGAGTATACTGTCTGTACCTCCCCCCTTCCCCCCGAAAAAAAAAGCTGAGGTTTTAAGAGATGCTCTCAGTTCCCTCAACTTCTCTTCAGTCTTGATGGCCTTGTCATCAAAACAATTTCCTTGTACCTTAGCAACCATTTCCTCAGACTTCTTTCATATAGAGAGATGCATCAAATTGCAGTCATTAAAAAACAGAACAAACTTTTCATAGTAAGGCAAGAAGCATGCTGGCCTTGTGAACACAAGTTTCCCCCCAGTCTTTTGCAGTCATTGACATGCAAAGTGTTGGGTTTTTTCCAAGACAAATGTTCCAGGTTAAAGTCTCAGAGTTATACAAATAGAATGTACTATTCCACACTAAGGCAAGAAGATGTTTAACTCTTTAACCATGTCTGGACGGTGGCAGCGTCCGTTAGTTGAGGTCCATAACCATGGCTGGACGATACCACCATCCGATGCGAAGATATTATTTGCATTATGGTATGGATTGCATATAAATAAATACAAGCTAACAAGCCTTCAGTTTGACCCGGAAGTCAAAGACAAATAAATTCTACATCTGGGTGATGCTTTGTTGATCAGTTTGACACAAAACAAGCATTTTTTAAAAACATATGTCGAGTTGCATTTCCACAAAACACGAAAAAATTACACGATAACGTGATTTTAATTTGCATGGTTAAAGAGTTAACTCGTAAACAGCACATGACAACAGATTTCTTCCTATTCGCTCAACAATGAGAAATCACATGTAACAAATTTTCTCCCCTGTGCTTTGCAACAAAACTATTTACTCATCAGATTTGTTAAAAAACTTACTTTGTAGTAGGGCATAAGATACTGTTCATTTTATCCAACAGCCTCGACAACAACATAAAACATTAAGTAAACTTTCTTCAACTGAAATTGTAAAAATCAAAATACAATCAGTGCAGTATCTCCAATTGACATTGTATACAATAGATTTTTCTCCACCTCGTCATAACAAGACATCACATCAAATTAAACTATTCAAAAGGTGTTGTAAAACTCTATATTCTCCAATAAACATTGCTTGTAGAAATTTTCTTCACATAAATTTATAATGTAATAAGACACCACATTCATCTGCGTTTCTCCAACATCCCTCAAATCTCTCATTGTCGCCACAAACTGGCAGGCAGTTACTCTTGCAGGTCATTTACTTTACTCTCTCCCGAGCGTAGATCATAATCGCAGCTCCAGCACGTGCTTCCTCGTGTGGAACAACTGAGAGTAGAAATCCTGGGAGATCTTCATCTGCAGCTCCGCATATGCTGTCAGGGCTTCGGCACTGCTGAGTAGCCTCTGCTGGGTGAAACTCTTAATCTGGTAAAAAAAAAAAGTATATGTGAGGCAGTGTGGTGGAATCAGGCTCTCGTCAAAATAATCAAAGTGACGAAACTTGCATTTTTCCGCAGGTTTGTGAATTTTTATAAAATTTTTGTTTTTTGGCTTAACACCTTTCATGCCCATTAAAGAACTAATTTCTGTGTGGATTCTGAAAAACGTTGATTAAAGGCACAAATTAAGGAAATTTTCAGTTACCACGGACTCTTCAGCTAAGGAAATAGCTAATCTTTGGCGGCCATTTTCTCACTAATTTTACCTCCGAAAACAGGTGACCCCCGCCTCCTTCTTTCGCAAATATCTCGACATGTATTCGAGATAAATGGATACTTTTTTCATCCAAATAAAGACAAATGAACAAGCTTTTAGATGATACCAATAACTCTACAAGCCCAAAAATTGCCTGATTCCACCACGCTGCCTCACATATGATCAATACAGTAAGGTCACCTTGTTAAACTAAAGAAAAAAAAACCCCAACGATCATGACATGGAACATGCTGAATTGCAAATATCTTTCACTATTGTAGGAAGGAAAATAGGTGGTAATGTTGAAGGTAAACAAAAGTGCCACCTTCTGAGCAAATTATTTATAGCACCCGCGAAACCAAAAAAGATCACTTGATTTATTTGAGTGGCTGCACCTTGTTTTGCTTGGCGGATTTTGTTGTAACCGGCTTATATACAAATATTTGTCGACAGTTACTGTTTCTACCTCTTTGTGAGGACCTCAACCCTTTACTTTCAATGTTTAAGTGCTATTGAACAGTGTGTGAGTCTTGACTTTACACCTGAAGAATAAAACATGTCAGTACCTTAAGATACAAGGTCTTCTGCGACCATCTTTCCAAGACAATCACCTGTACAAACCACCATACCTACACACAAAATAGAAGATTTAATTGGGAGGAAGCATTTAAAATTACATTATCCTTTGAGAGTTGCCCTGAGCGTCAAGCTGAAATCTAATGAAAACAAGGATAAAAACAACACCCATTACAAGCATGAAAGATTGGACTGGTAGGTGTCACAGCCAGCAAAGGGAATTGCAAAGTGTCCCCAAGCAAAGTCTCTCCATCTTCATAATATTGATGATTCAACACACCAAGGAAATTAAAATACACCGAGCAGGTACCATACGCACTTTATAAGAGAAACCGTAAAGTGTTTGTGTAACACCCATCCACCAATAACTATTTTATCATCTTTTGAGAGTTACTCTGGGTGTCTATACTGTAATTCAGTCTAGCACGCACATAGTGCGCGGCATACATGGCGAACCAAACACATCAAACGTTATTTGTAGCTAACGAAAAGAATTCTGAACCCCGCCGATTTCGCGATGTGTGCGATTGACTGCAGTTTTCTTTTGAACTCTTCTAGTAATTCTCAGATAATGCAGCTGCTAACCACATCATTGTCTAATAGTTGTAAAGCAAACAGAGCATGCTCTAGAGAATGGATATGTCCTATATAAATGCAGTTATTATTATTATAATTATTATTCAGAAGTTTGTGTGTGTGTGTGTGTGTGTGTGTGTGTGTGTGTGTGTGTGTGTGTGTGTGTGTGTGTGTGTGTGCATGTGTGTGTGTGTGTGTGTGTATGAGTGTGTGGAGTGGGGGGGGGGGGGGGGGCTTGTTATTGTCATTTTTCTTGCTGTTGACTTTGGATTTTTCCAAAACCAGGGTAACTTACAAAGAGACTGTTTATTAAGTATAGGACCCAATACCTGGTAAGAGCACAGTACCCCCTTTTTTTCAGACAAGTTCTCCATAATCAGGCAGTATTTAACAATGACATGTCATGCAAAGCCTTTAAGACATTACCTCCTTCTTGGCTTGCTCTGAACTTGTTTCAAAAATCTTCTTTGCTGTGTTATAAGCCTCCTCAGCCTGTGAAGAAAACATTTGCCCTGTCTCATTTCAGTGCTCAAAACAAAAGCTATCAATACACAAAAAGACAAAACACACAAATTTCTTTTACCACAAACAAGCATCATCAGCCTATTTTATGGGAGCCCATTATAATGATTGATTTGCATATCATTGGCCACCTGATTACATGTCCAAGACCCAAAGTATTCATTATTTTAAAATTAGTTTCTTAATCTATGGTATCACTTACATGTGCTAAAAGAATATTTTGTTACAATTCAAACTCTCCATGTTGAAAAAGGCAAGGAAAGATACATAAAGTAGATTCAAAGAGCCCCATTGACACAATTTAGACCATTACGGAGGAGAGCAAGGCAGAATGAGATACAGCACCCTTGTGGAAAGATGGACATACTCAGTAAAATAACTTCTCCATATGAACATCAAACTCACATCTCACGCACGCTCATATGACCGTAAGCAGTGGCGAGCACCATAAAACACTTACGACTAAAGCATAAGCGCATATGAGAACTTTATAAAATCAAACTAGAGAGTTATCAAGTAATAAAAAGAATTCACACATAAAATACACGTTGTATGTCATAGTGTATAGGACACAGCGCAGGTGAGCACTTTATACAATCAAATGAAAAATTTCTTAGCTGTCAAAAAGTTACGAATGGTATTTTAAAAATTCTTACATAAAACATACTGCATGTCACTGCATATATGACGCAGCTTTTTACCGAAGAATAAGGGTTTCAAAGTGACCTTGCATCTTATCAATGAAATATAAAATTCGACCCTAAAAAAACCCCAACAGGAGCTGACAAAGGAAACAAACTCACGCATTGTGTGACTTTTAGTTTAGTAGAAGTTTTACGGCACTCGAAACTGCATAAGGTCATATGAGTGCGAGAAGATTAAGAGGTGTTACAAGAGAGTAACAAACATAAAAAAGAAAAAGGGGAGATAAGGATGATAAATGTTTGACAGGAAAGAAGAAGAAACCACACCAGAGCACCCGCCAACCACCCACATTGTGTGTAAGCAGTGGCGAGCACCATAAAACACTTACGACTAAAGCATAAGCGCATATGAGAACTTTATAAAATCAAACTAGAGAGTTATCAACTGACAAACATTGCGACTAGTAATGAAAAGAATTCATACATAAAATTCACGTTGTATGTCATAGTGTATAGGACACAGCGCAGGGGAGCACTTTATATAATCAAAAGAAAAATTTCTTAGCTGTCAAAAAGTTACGAATGGTATTTTAAAAATTCTTACATAAAACATACTGCATGTCACTGCATATATGACGCAGCTTTTCACCGAAGAATAAGGTTTTCAAAGTGACCTTGCATCTTATCAATGAAATATAAAATTCGACCCTAAAAAAAACCCAACAGGAGCTGACAAAGGAAACAAACTCACGCATTGTGTGACTTTTAGTTTAGTAAAAGTTTTACGGCGCTCGCAACTGCATAAGGTCATATGAGTGCCAGAAGATTAAGAGGTGTTACAAGAGAGTAACAAACATAAAAAAGAAGAAGGGGAGATAAGGACGATAAATGTTTGACAGGAAAAAAGAAGCAAACCACACCAGAGCACCCGCCAACCACCCACATTGTGTGACTTGGACGATGGGGATGATGCAATTGAAATGAATGATGATGAGATTTAAGAGACTTTTTTAACGGTGACTAGAATTGAGGAGTTTTCATACCCGTGCATCAGTACTGTGATTCTTTTACTTTGGCTTTTTGGAAATAAAATGGACAACTTTAAGATGGTGGAGCTCCACCTGAAAAAATGTGTGCCTCTTATTCAATAAACACATTTGCTTTATACTAAAAGTTTGGTTATAAAGTCTACGTGTCTTGTTTTAGTAAGAGCGTAAAGCACTTGCAAAACAATAAGTTCATGTAAGTGCCGAAGATTAGTGGAGCAACAAGAGAGTAACAAACACAAAAAATAAGGAGAGAGAAGGACAATAGATGCTCGATAGGAAAGAAGGAGAAAACCACACCAGAGCACCAGCCAACCACCCACAGCCTGTGTCTTATTCACACTTGTGTCCTAAATGTGAAGATATACAGTACATAAGAATGAATACTTCAACAACAGTGCTGGACTCAGGAGATCAGGTCCATAATCAGGTGTCCAGACGTTGAGCAAAATTAGGAAAAGCCACTTTAGATCAATAAATCCGTTTAAAGGGTGTGAACTGAAAAACGAACAATCCTAAAAGTCCTATGACTGTTTCAAGTTGATCAGAAATATCTATTTATAGGCCGCTATTAACTCTTTCCAGATGTATCGCCGATTTATCTGCGCGAGTCTACACCCCTTGCGGACGTATCGCCGACACATCGGCTGTGATAGGGTAACTCAGTATTGTTTCGTTTTAACACGATCCGTGATTTATAATTACTTTATACTGCTATTGAAAAACTCGGAAAGGATGAAAACATTAAGTTTCACTTTGTCAAGTGATGGGTTTGGGGAAAAACGAGAGAATTAGTTCTTGCGGTCTTGCATCAACAAAACGATGTAACCAGACTCAGTATGAATTTCATAACTCAAACAAAAATTGGAATATTGCTTTAAAATAAAAAGCTGCGCATTCAGAAATTTATGGATTATGCCCTTGGCCTGTATATGATAAGACAGCTAAGCTGATTTGCTTTCACACATTTGGTGACGATAATTTTTTCCGTCAAAATTTATTTTTCTAATCACCATCGCCATTTCTAACCCTTCTAATGCATACTTATGTTCGAAATTAATCCTTGTTTCATATTGGGATGTATTCCTCATTCAATTTTCTTCAATTTGATATATCATATGTTGCGTTTTGAGTGATGGTTGTTCTTCTATGAAGTTATTTTGTACACCACCTGAAAAGCCAAATCGAGCCACAAGTTAATTATTTCTAAACCCCAAAAACCTACGTCCGGAAAGAGTTAAAGTTCACTAACAAAAATATGGCAAAATGGACCAAATGGGGTAGAATGCTGGTGCATAAGGTAGTTCTTTTGATACAGCTTTGATGCTACTGTTCTTGAACCTCAATATAGTCAAACTCTTGCTTTAAGTAAGGTATAAAGTGAAGACCATGGCAGAGCTTAAACTAATCTATCCTTCTATCAATACTGACAATATTATAATTCCATGAGAAGAATACATGTGATATTAAGATGATAATGACTCATTGACTCTTAACTCCCTTTCCCACAAAAACAATATGACCTGAGTTCTAAATAAAACTAGGAAAACTGTCATTGTCCATGAGAAATAATTTCCAGTGAGTTTACACATTGCATAAAGAGGCAGAAAAGGACAATAGAGAAAATGTTAAAAAAAAGTAAAGAGAAGATTATATTAAAGCAACCATCTACCATCAACAACTTACGAGCCCACAAAACAAGATGATTCATTTAAAATAAAAGACAAAGCAGAGAACCTACCGCTGCTTTCTTTGCTGGCTTGGCTTTCTCTAAAGCTTTCTCACAGGACTCATAATCCACTAAGGCACTTGTGCGGCGGAAATGCATGTCCTGGACAAAGCAGAAAAAAAGAAGAAAAAATCACCAAAGGATGAGAAAAAAAGATAACTGGACAGAATATTTTAGATAACTTTTGTAGAAGCAAATCTGCAAAATAACTGGTTGAAGCGAGAACTTCTGAATGTATTCTCTTGAGTTTCAGCAATTTTTCTTTCACAGGCTTTAACAGTTTGCGACTGTAACCATCGACAAATGCCCTCAGCGGAACACTTTTTTGTTTTATCTTGAGAATAAAGCCCTACTTCCGCCTTCTATTTGCTGAGATCTTCTGCAGTCTGCTCCCAGTTTCTGATGTCAGTCTATGTTGAGGTTTAGTCCTTCTTGCATGAGGCAATATATCTTTATAGATGTTAACACTTTCCCTCTCTTTTTATTCTCTATTTTTCTCAAGAGGAAATGCTTTGGTATTATTTTCTCATCTTCCAAATGGCACTCATGCCTTTGCTTGACGTAGTTCTGCTTATTGCAAATATATGCACGACCCACTCCATATGAAGTTAGCATGGGTACATCGATGCCTCATTTGTATTATATAGGGTGACATTATTCGGACTATACTATAAGTAAGCATTCCATTAATTTAGGCTATATGTAGCCGAAATAAGGTAACCATGGTAGGAAAGCATACTTGGGCTACCCTCACCCACATAACCAAATATCTCTCCCATCTGGACTTGTAAAGCAATGTAATCTGTAATCTAGATCTTGCTTGCCTTGACTTTACGACATAGTGACACTATCCGTAAGTACAATCTACGGGTCAATAACTGCAATGATGAAGGTGTGGTCCAAATAAGATTTTGGAGGGGCGTTTTACTCATTTGAGCTATATGTAGCCAAAATAAGCATCACTCCCAATCAAATATGCTGAATAATAGTTCAGATGAATCTGGCTCAAATCTGCAATGGATTGTTTCCTGAATCTGGGTTGTCTGGAAATTTTCTAGACTCTCAAGCAGCTTAATTTGGTTTCATCAGAGATCATGACTCTTACATAACATTACATTGTTGGTGAAGTTGTTTGACCAAAGCACTACAATGAAGCCCCCACATGAGCTGCCACAGATCTCCCTTGTTCGGGTGGCATTGGTAGTCTAGTAATTAAGCTACTGGCCACATAATCGTGAGATTGCGGGTTCCAGGGTTCAAGGTTCAGCTCATTTCCACCAATGCAGCGCGCAGAGCGCACAACACTCGTTCCCACGGACCAGGATGCAGATACTGTACATCAATACCATATCTGTATCTCGGCAAAAATACTCCAACCATTATGAACTTTTCAGAATACTGAGAAAATGGAAAGTGATGATCCCATGTCCACCAAATAAGGAATTAGAATTGGAACTGAAAACATTAAATCTAGCTCATTCTTCATGTGAATTCTCGTCATGGCATAAGAGTAAAGCAGCACGTATACATGCTAGGTCTACTCGACATTATTTTTTAAAAATTACTCCAATTGTTGCAAACAAACTGATTCGACCTCAAAGGCCACACAAGTCTTCAGAAATGAAATTCAACTTAACAAGTGAGTACGTGAAAAAGGAGATCAATTGCTGCAAGGTTTTTGTTGCTATATCACCCCATCACCGATTAGCGTCCCGTGGGGAAAAGGGACGACTTTCTTACCATCGCCGACCGGCATACCGTGGGGGCAAAGTGTTAACTAACCATACAGTTTTGAAAGGTGTGATAAATATTGTACAATTTAGCAATTTTTTCAACTGTTCTACCCCCAAAAGACAGGACCTCTTAATACAACATCCATCTCCACTCCTATAGGACCAATTTATATGACAGGATACCTTAAAAGCTCCCTAAAACAACCTGAGTTCTGAAAGTTCCATTGGGGATTCTAACCATGCTCATCCACTCTACAGTCCAGAGCGATACCAACTGAGCTAACTTGACGAGACAAAAAAGGATATTAATGACATATGTAAGAGAAAATTAAACAACTTTTCAGAACTTACCTTTAGAGCATCGCTGTATCTGGCATAGAGTTCAAGGAAGAAACCCAAAGTGAGCTCAGATTGACCACTGCGTAGCTCCAGGCTACCCTGACAACGAAATGGGACAAAAAAACAAGAGGATAAAACAAACAGCCTGATTGAAAGGTGGGGGGGGGGGGGGGGGGGGGGAGGGGGGGGGGGAATGAGATGTTAAATTTGGCCAATTAGAGGTGTGGCATGGGTCTGAAAGTGTTTGTGCACCTCTTCTGTCATATCTAAGTGTCCAGTGCTAAAACCTAGAGGGCCTGGAAAATAAGTTAACCTATGTAAAAACTAGAGGGCCTGGAAAATAAGTTAACCTATGTAAAAACTAGAGGGCCTGGAAAATAAGTTAACCTATGTAAAAACTAGAGGGCCTGGAAAATAAGTTAGCCTATGTAAAAAACATGGGTTGCAAAGCATTTGATTTTTGTTTCTCTTAAAATTCCACAAGTGATATTCATATTTTCCCCTTGTACCCTTCAATTGCAACTGTAGAAATTAAACATCCCTATTAACTCAATTAGATCATCTGGAAGGCAGGCTGCTTTGATCACGCCTGTCAGGGCCACATCGGGCTGAGAGGGATACAACATTTCAGCAGAAAGACGGAGAAACTCAAAAAATATTTTCCCTCACAAACAGTCAGAATTTACCTTTACATCCTACATGAACTATGCAAGAAATTTAGTTTTAGTAAGAGTTTTACAGCACTTGCAACACAATAAGGTCATATAAATGCTGAAGATTAGAAGTGATACAAGAGAGTAACAAACACAAAAAAGGAGGAGAGATCAGGACGACAGATGTTTGATAGGAAAGAAGGAGCAAACCACACCACAGCACCCACCAACCATCTGCACTATGAAAGATTTGAGACATTTTTCAAGAAACTGTTTAAGATAATGGTAACACACGAAAAAGTGAGAAGAAGGATACTACACCAGAGCACCCACTAATCACCTACAAAGGCTGAATATGTTGGAGATATTGAGCCATAGCTCGAACAAAACAGAGCAGTTGTACATTCATAAAGGGCCTATTGCATAATCAGTTAAAACTGACTTTTGTCTCCAACATCTTTGTGATACGATAACACAACATAATGCAATCTTGATCCCAATAAATCTCTTTTTTTTTGGTGATCTTCTGAATTCAGCAAAGAAAAAGAGTCACTCCAGAGGCTCTTTGTTAATTTTGATGTTCTGGTTCAGAACTTTAGATAATTATTTTTACGATAGGCCATAGTTTTAAACAAATTTTTTAACAAAACTTTTAATATTGGATGGTCACAGCGTCTGGCTAATCGGACTGTCTGCTATGCCTGCGGCTCGCAGACTTATTTCCTTATCACAAAGAGGGCAGACAAAATGTCAGGTTCAACTGATCGTGTAATAAATCCCTTAGGGAGCAAAACTCTAGCAGCAGTTCCTTGTAAAAGCTAGGACAGTGGGAGTATTTTAATTTGAGAAAAGAGAAGCACATAAACATGACTTTGGGTATTTAATGCAAGGAAAATGCAAAATAGACACACAGAAACAACAGAAGGATGGACAAGAAATAGGGCCTATAACAACGCCTTCCAACCACCTATTAGAAAAGGGGAACATTGATTACTTGATTTATTCACTTACTGCCTCGTCTTCACAACCTTCACTGACGAGCTTCATGAGTCTGAAAAAGACAAGATATGAGTATGAATTCGATGATTTAAGGTCACTCTCACAATCTTATTGAGATGTAAATTAAAAGAGAAGGTAAGTTTGTTTTAGTAAGAGTTTTAGGATACTTACAACGCAATTAGGTCATATAAGTGCTGAATATGAGAGGTGTTTCAAGAGAGTAACAAACACAAAAAAGGAAAGACAGATAAGGACTTTGATTGGAAAGAAGGAGTTAACCACGCCAGAACACCCGCAAACCACCCACGAGCAGGTATGGCATCAGTCAGAGTCCGCACGGATTGGACTCCGATAAAACATGAAAATGAAGAGAATTCCAAGGATCTGGCCACCTCAAAGTGCCCATCAATTATAAGGCAATCAAAAATTCATGGTGCAACTTATCGTCAGAGATATCTCTTTAACAGGTGAATCAATGTCCCCCATACTTTGCACAGCAGTTTGTATCAATTTGTTTTAACTTAATCATATTTTTCCCAAACAATTGAGGCTAAATTAAAAAACTTTTCTTCATAAATTCAAATAAAATACTATAAATCTCCGTGACGGAGAAATTGGGGTTGTTCACAGTACATCCATACATACTTGTTGACTTTGATTAAAGGCTCGTCTCTCATCTCAGCTGTACAAGTAGTGAAATCTGTGGCCAGGTTGCGATAAGAGCTGGACAAACCTTAAAACAAAAGCAACACACAAATGAAGTGCCTTGATTAAGTAGTAGTAAGAGTTTTACGGCGCTCGCAATTGCATAAAGTCACATGAGCGCATGAATTAAGTTGGTTTTATTCGCAATAGTTCACTGCATGGCCTGATTCCGGTCAATATTTCTAATCAAAATGTTTAAACGCTAAAAATTTGAAGTAAACAAGAAAAGAAAAACAAATTGATGAAGAGAAGAACAATAATTTTGTTTTCTCTTTACTTCTATTTTTACTTGTAGCACAGTCCTCACCAAGCCCGTTTTTACATTTTTTATTTTTGTGACCTGGGTCTCTTTTTCCTTATCCTAGAAAGCATACTGCTACACTGTGCACTGAGTTCTTTCACAACACTTTCATCAGTTCTTTTATCTGTCAATTAGTCTCGAAGCAGTCTTTTCTAAAACCATAAGGTGGGCGGCCACTGGGAAGTCCATGAGAAAGACACGACAACCCTAGCTAAAAATACAGGGCGCTGCAAAATGGCATGTAAGCGAAATTGTTCTGTATTGGTGTAATATTGTGTATGTGGCGTCGATAGCCTAGTTATTAGGCTCTTAGACTCGCAACTGTTAGGTCATGGGTTCGAATCCCGTCAGGGGCCCGACCTTGTGTCCTCACTTCCCCCCAGCTAGGAATGGATACTCAGCTACAGACAGCGAAAGATCTTGTCAGTTTGTTAGTGTTTGGGCGCTTAATCAGCTGCTTGCACTGTATGCTTCCCGGGAATGTTTCTGAGTATTCTATGGTCTGCTGGTGTAATAATATAGTGTGTAAAGTGCATAGAGCTTGCTGTAGAGCGGGGATATGTGCTATACAAATGCTATTCATTTAAGATTATTAATGTTAATATGTATTTGTGCCTCAAAATTATTTTGTCCAAAATGCCTCTTTACTTATGTAGACTGAACAAAATAGGTCTAAGGCGATGGTTTGTATACGCATTTATATATGTATGTATTTATGATGCATGTTTGCTATTGTAACAAAAATTGCCCTACAGGGATCAATAAAAAGGTAAGTTATTTAATTTATTGATGTATATTTTTGCTGCACGGATTCTGTTTTTCTCTTCCTTTTCTGAAATCCAACCCCCCTGAAGGTGAGACACAAAATCCCCTGGCTCCCTTAGGTACAAACTGACGTAAGAGGCCCAAGAGCAAGCCCCGATGGGCAACACTTTAATCCTTCTTCCTTCAACTCACTTAATGTATTCTTCAGCATAAGGTGGAGAATACCTCAGGAGTTTTTATAATACAGTCTGGTACTAATAACTCAAAAGTGTTGGAGATTGACAAATGTATTCCGCATGTCCATAGTTCAGGTAAACCATACAGCAAAAAATTGTAAAAAAGAGATATGCAGGAATGACAAACTGTAAATGAATTTGAATTTTCCGTGTTTGTGTAATCTGTGCCCATCTATTATAATAATAAATTATACTCATACAGCGCATTCCACTGAGAAAAAGGCTCAGTGGGCTTCACAATAACACAGTGTATATAGTATAGTTCCAATAGAGATCCTTTCACTCCCTCCCCCTCTCTCATTCTCTTTCTTTCTCTTCCCACTCCCTCTCTACAGTCTTAATAACATTACATTGATCAAGATGATAAGAAAACTAAAAATATGCCTCATCTAAAAGATGCAGTTTAAACTTTTCAGCTGCTTTTTAAATATTGCCAGGAGGCTTGACTCTCTCGTGGGTAAGTCATTCCATATCAGATGACTATAAGTTTTCAACAGACAACTCAGGTGTTGGGGTCCTGTGGGTTTAGGGGGCAAGGGAGGATTAACAAACGAAACTCTTAGTTTTTGTTCAAGTAAGAGTTTTACGGAACTTTTGAAACACAGATCATATAAAAGTCAAAGATTAGAGGCATTACTAGAAAGTAACATATAAAAATAAAAAAGGAGAAGTAAGGACGATACATGTTTGTTTTTTTGTAAAGGTTTTACGACACTCGCAACTGCATAAGGTCATATGAGCGCCAGAGGACTAGAGGTGTTAGAAGAGAGTAACAAACATAAAAAAGAAGGAGGGGAGAAAAATACGATAAGAGTTTGATGGGAAAGAAGAAGCAAACCATACAAGAGAACCCGCCAACCACCCACCGATACATGTTTGACAAGAAAGTAGGAGGAAACCACATCAGAGCAACCATCAACCACCAATCGCCAACCACCAACTTAATGTAACTCTGCCACAGTACAACTGGAACAATAATACCACTGCAACACTTATCTCATATTCTGTAGTGTTGATACAATAAATCTTTTCACTGACGAGAGACATTTTCTCTGTTATAAAACACTCACTGACTTTACAAAATGCATAAGACCTGTTCTGATAGCATTTAAGTATATCTTTTCTATCCACTTGTTCTCCGTATTGCTGAGAGAAAGAGATAAGATATCGAAAGCCCGTGACAAGTACACATCACGTACACAGGTCAAGAGGGAGACTGACAGAAGTAGGCACTTACCAAAACAGCTGATAGTGTAAGAACCCTATTTATCTTGTGGTGACTGCAGATGTGGCTAATAAGGCAATGACAAGCTAATAGAATTATCTTCTTTAATTTAAAAGTAACAATTTCATTAAATGTCTTATAAAATTTATGATAGCGTATGTGATAAATTAAACTATGGCATGCTAACAATTTCCTGCAGCAATGAGGGATTGGAATTGATTAGTGTTTTTCGCCCTAAACGTTATTTCATCATGTGTCAGTTTCATTGCTATCCTTCATGAGCTGTAATCTTCTGTTGCCTGTTCCTAGCTTGAGCACAACAGACACAATTGTATCTGACCCTAGGGCAGGCCAGAAGATGTACAAGTAGTTCGCAGCTTTACTAAAAGATATTTAATTTTAGTATACTTCTTTTTGCACTTTGAACAAAAATAGGTCGTATAAGAACCAAAGAATAGAGGTATTACTAGTGAAAAACATACAAAAAATGAAGGTTTATAATAAATGTAATATGAAGACAACCAATAAATAGTTCCTGAAAACTGAGAGCATTAAAAGGAAAAGAATAGAAGGTAAAAACATGAGGAGGAAAAGAACCAAAAAAAACCAATTGCTCGAAACTATTTAGTACTTACGCCACTGTGCAACAATCAATTTGTTGTAGTTCTGTAAAGAAAAGGAGAAAAGCAAAACAACAATGTAAAACGGCATATTTTAATTTATAACATTCCATAGCACTGGTACAGCACATAGAGCTCATTCATCAGTAAGCTCTATGTGCTTTACAACCTATATTATGACCCCAGCAGACCTGCTAGCAATCTGAAACAATCTCAACTTCAGATAAGGCGCTAAAACACTTACATACAGACAAGGTCTTTCGCTGTCTATGGCCAGGTACCCATTCCCACCTAGATGAAGTGAGGACAATTCATGTAAAGTGCCTTTCCCAAGAACACAACGTCGGGCCTACGGCTCGAACTCCCAAACCCAAAACATTCTGATTACGAATCTGGTAGCCTAACCACTAGACTACTGAAACCACATATTATACAGAAAATCTGTTTCAAATGTAATGGTTAAGTACATGCAGAGCGTTACCAGTCCTAGCTAATATTATCTGTCCTGGGCAACAACGTCATGGCACACCGGACAGGTCCATAAGTGCTCAGTTCCTCCCAGCATCAAAGCTCACAAGGTATCCTTACTGATTGTTCCGGTGGCTGTCTGATTATGGTGATGTCTTTCCTTTCCAGATAATCGTTCCTTTCTTCCTTCTCCCCTCTCTATCCCCATTTCCCGCATCCTGATGATTGCGTGGTGTTCTGCTGACTCCCTGTCTTCCCCATTCTGCAACTTTTCCGCCAGGGTCTTCTACACTTCTACTTTGTCAAATTTCACCTCACCATCAACCACGGCACGGCCTGCCAGCCTATCAGCCCTAGCTAATAAATAAAACACACTGAATTAACAGCCACTTGTTTCACTTCCTTTCTCATACAATACTTGCAAAGTGGAGTCAGAAAAACTGTTGGATGCCAGCCACAGAGATCTTTTTCTTGTTTTCATGAGAGTCAAAACACAGGAGGATCACAGACAAGGGAGAGGACGAAAAAAGGCTCAGAAAAGTTCATAAATGTATCAAACATATTAAAAAATACATTTTGTTGTGAGTAGTGCCAACTATCATTTCCAATGTTTGAACCTATTTGGGACAAAAAAGGAGAATAAAAACTTTCTCACAATCTCATTCTAAAGCCACAGACATCTCTCAAATTCTTTATAAAGACAATTTACTAGTTCACAAGGGAAGTTGACAGCAAACCCCCAGAGCAAATGAGTCTTATTTTAATGACTTACTTTTGTAAGTAAAGGAAAATAGACATTATAATTATTTTCCAGCTAAGACATAATGTTCCTCCAATTTTAGCCTCATGGAAATACTTCTTCAGCTATTTTCTTAATTTCTGCAGTTTCTGGAAGGAATTCATTAAAGGTTTTGACCCAGCAACAAGCATGGGCAGGCTCATTCTCGTTTAATTTCAACAGTCAAAGAAATCCTAAGTTTGATTGCGGCATGAAGATAATTTTCTTCAGCAAAGAAGGCAATACAGTATATCCCACATCTTTAGAGATCAGTGTGGTTAAAAAGTATAAGATAAGTCTATAGTCCACTGTCCATGCCAGTGCAAACCTGGGATCAAACCAAGTACTTCATTGTGAAATATAAGCACAATATCCCCAGACTAAATTATAGCATCTCCCCCCCCCACCCCACCCCACCATTAAAAAAAAAAAAAGAGTACTCACAAGAGAAGCGTCCTTCACAGCTTTTGAAAATTCATTTGCAAAATTGCGCTGATCTTGAAAATAGTCATCAACATCCTGTATTCCACAAAAAGAGAAAATAAAGCAGAACATTCAGTGACGAATCAATAACTTTGATAATTGTACACTTTCCAAACTTCAATGTCATGATATTAAAAAACAGTTTTTAATAAACCCAAGCCTATGGTATATCAAAATAAGAGAAAAGTATGAAAAACAAAACCACCATCAAAGTCTTATAAAGACAAAAGTATTAGGAATTACAAATCCATTATATATAAAAGTCTCAGAAAAAGTAAAAATGTATTAAAGACACTTGATATAATATTATGAGTTCCAAAGATAGAAATGGAAGGAACTGCTCTCAACTCAAATAAATTCTAATTCATACAGCACTCAAAAGACACAACACAGCTCTCCCTCATCTCAAAAGTAGAATTTCAAGTCATGAAAGCACGAAACGATATTATTATGACTACTATATTATGCTTCAACGTCTAGTTTAAAAAGTACCAAAACTTATTAAAAAGTCCAGCCAAAGTTTTGGCAGATAGCTGACTCCAAGCTGTGACAAGAGAATACACTTAGCAAGGAGACTTGCTCTCAGCTGAAAAAAAAAAAAACTCCATGGAAGTGACACTGTGCTGCAATCTCAGTGAGTGATGATGCAAGGTGGTGGCTCATTTAGACATACCTTACGATTCGCCTTTCTGGCACTGTCAATGGCTGAGCCAAGACGAGATATGAGACCCTTGTTTAACCGAGCCCTGACCGGAGCCTGGGGAGATAAAGAACAACTGTGAATGTTTTATTATCCCATCGATGTAAAGAAGGAACAGACAGACAGACAGACAGACAGACAGACAGACAGACAGACAGACAGACAGACA